CAGAGGGAGAAGCAGGCTCCCCGTGGAGCAGGGAGCCCGATGCGGAACTCGATCCCAGGACCCTGGGATCACGACCTGAGCCGAAGGCAGACGCCCAACGACTGAGCCACCCAGGCGTCCCTAGGGTAATGTCTTTTTAACTAAATTTTAAATAAAATGGGGCTTAAGTACCAAGAAGAGGCAATTCAAACTTTCAGGGAAGGCTTCCTTGTCCTTTGAGTTTGACAGATGAATGAAAGTTTAGGCACAAAATGGCATTCCATACAAAAGAGAGAACAGCATGTTCAAAGTCATGGGAATGTAAAAAGAAAAATTTAAAAAGTCAGTCTCACTGCAGGTGGCAAGCGAAATCAACCCAGTGCTGACTATTCCAAGTGAAGGTGGGATTTTGTTGAAATGTTAATTTTCTTTGTATTAACTTAAAATTTGGTTTCATTTCCAGCACCAGCAGGTTCTGTGTGCTTACGATTCATGCTGTTTCATGGCAGATTTTCTTAAAGACCTAATTTGGGGGCGCCCGGGTGGCTCAGTTGTTAAGCGTCTGCCTTCGGCTCAGGTCATGATCCCAGGGTCCTGGGATGGAGCCCAGCATCGAGCTCCCTGCTCCGCGGGAAGCCTGCTCCTCCCTCTCCCACTCCCCCTGCTTGTGTTCCCTCTCTCGCTGTGTGTCTCTCTCTCTGTCCATTAAATAAATAAAATCTTTTTAAAAAAAACAACAAAAACAGGTTGCAATAATAATCCCAAGTCCCGACCAAAAGTGATCACAACTGAACTGGAAACAGATACACTATGAATGCAGGAACACTATATTTATTAGGTCAATAATTCATTTTTAGCAATACAAGTACAGAATATATCACAATGCTGGTTACAAACATACTTAGTATGGTTCAATGGTTACAAATAATGGTGGGCACTACAAGTTTGTGTTAAGGATGATACGAAAGGTCATTCTGACACAATGAAGAATTGTCTTAAAAAAATCTCAATGACCCTAGATATTTCTATAGAAATTACTGTGGCACTATTAGTGGGGATTTTCATGTAAAGAATTGTTAGTAATTTGTTTCATTAAGAGCTCTTGAGCCTATTAAACTAAAATCCCCTGTTGCTTAATAAAGTATAAAAATAGTACTGACTTGGTAATATTTAATAAAATGTAGCATTCATTCACATCATAAAAGTAGAACTACACTGAAAAGTTTTAGTTACCATGGCAACATCTCTCCATAAAAGGAATATACAGAAATGAGTAATGTTACACAAATGGTACCTGCGACAATTATTTAGTGACCCAACACTTAACTTGTGCACCACAAACCAGGTTTTCTAGATATCTATATATAGCATATATTTTTAATCTTAAATTTTACTTTTGAAAAAAAATGTGCACTTCAACAAACTCACTAAGGCCACTCATGCTATAGATACCTAGGACTGCAATTAAAGAACAGTATTATTTAGTAAATCCTAAAGCACACTCCTTCAGATCACCGACAGGGTCAAACCAGTTTTCTGCCTAACACATTCCTGAGATTTGTGGACAATACAACTACTAGTGTTCAAGCTGGAGATTAATCCAAATGTCAGATTAAAAAAAAAATTTTTTTTTTCCTAGCAAGAACTGAGGTCCTCCAAAGCCAAGAGGTGAAATATATACATCAATTTTTAAAGCAAAAATAAAACTCTTAAAAAAGTTCGCACTTATATAAATAAGTATTTTTCCAGTAGTAACTTTGTCATCCAGAAAAGGAACAGTTTGCAAGCAGCAAGGCTACAAATTCTGGGGAAAAAATAAAGACCAAGTGGCAGTTAAGAGTACCTGCTAACTAAGCAAACCATTGTTTCAATTTGTACAGTATGGCCAAAAGCTTCCGTCGTGTTTTAGGTGCCGACTGTTGAGCACTCTGTGTGCATGTAAGGAGTTGCCAAATGGCACTCTACAGTTATTTATAAGGTAGCAGCCTCTGTACTTAACTTTCACAACATTATGAACTCTTCCCAAACAGGCTAGGAACAAAGGCCTTTGTCAAATCTTTAATTTCACAAATCAATTAACCACGTACCTGCACACGGATTACTACAGAGCAACAGTGAGTTTGTCTTTAACCAAGGAGAGACAGAGCTTCAATGACAAGAAGGGTCCTAAAGCTTTGGGGACCCATAAAAACTGTGGTCTAAAAAACCCCATTGGTTCTATTACACTGGATGCAGGAGTGACTGACCATCTGTGTGGCACAGGAGCTCTCCTGTGCATCTCCCGATGCACCCAATCTGAGTAGCACCAACTTTGGGAAAGAGACTGGGTAAGAGAGAAGAAATGAAAGTCAGGGAAGGATGAGACCAAAGGCCCCTTACTTAACATTACTTTGCTGAACTTCCAGAGAAATCTTTAAGTTGGTCTAGGCTTCCTTACACACAACCCCCACCATATGTGAAAAGTTTGTGTAAGCTATTGGTTATTGTGAAGTAAATTTTATTCTTTTGAGATTCTTTTTAACCCCACAAAGTACTAACATTCACCTCTCTAAGCTACCCTAAACATCCCTAGGAATGATAAATCCCACACTTAGAATCATTAGGGTATTATTCTTCATTACAACCAGAATTAATAACATACTCTTTGTTATATCATTAACAAGCTGTCAATCTCTTCTCAGCCTACAGTTTTTGCATTAAACCAAAGTGTACGGACTTACAGAAAACTACATTAAAGCAGTGGTAATAAAGGGAAACTACCAATGCTTTTTAGGAAAACTGGCTGCCACATAACATTATCACCCTGTGATCTTAGGCTTCTAAATATCATGTTGCTTTATCACTGAGTGTGAGCTAAGTTGAGCTCAAACTGAATTAAGAGAGGATGAGGCCTTAAATCATTTGCTTGATTTTATCCTAGGAAATGCTATATGTGCACAAAACCAAAAGATACAGATTGATTAAAAAAAAAAAAACTTCATATGGAAACGTTAAGTTTCAAAATATTTATTGAAAAACAATTTACCATGACATTCCTATACCACAAACATACCACATGACTCTAAATAACCAACAAAAGTATACAAAGCCTATCCTGGAAATATCTTTGGAGGTATTAAATATATAGGCCTGTGAGGATAGAGCTGAGTAACTTAATAAATGTTAGTCCTTGGTCACACAGACTATTTGGTAAATAATAAAGAGGTGCCTCTTGGCATTAGACTGCAATTAACTGGGAGGGGAGAAGCAGGTGTGCCAATGTACTCTTTTTAAAATGAAAAAGAAAATAATTCAATTTGAGGAATAAACCCAGGTTTTGAAATCACGGTTACAATATTAGGGTCTGGGCTTGCTTCATCTCTGCCTGTACCTCCCCCAGTCAATCCCCTCCTGGGGACTTAAAAACACTGGCTCATAACTAACAAGACTGCAAGTAACAGTTTTAAACAAGATTAGGTTTGGGAAGTTCAAAAAGTGTTGAAAATCAAATTTACCTGAAATCTCCAATTAATTTTTCTGTACTCAATGTGGCAGTTTAGATTTCTTCCCCCCTCCAACCCCAGCGTGCATGTTAAAAGAAAACCAAAATTCAACACACATCCACTCACCCACAGACTACTCCAAGCATTAGCCAAGAGCAACATCTGACAGCCAAGTCATGAACCCCTGAAAATAGGGGGGAAAACCCTGATTCTTAACTACAGAGGCACCACATAGGCCACTACAGTAAGAATTGAGGTAACAGCAAAAGACCTTTTTGTTTCTTAATTGCTACATGTCACTTTCCAAATCTGAGTATTAATTACCTCAATATTAAATAACCTGACTGGCTTAAGATTACAAAAATCAAAACCCAATAAACAGGAAGACAAGTTAGTGAAACATATATAATTAGGGGATCTCTGCATTTGACTCTTGAATTTCAAATAAAATGACACAGCTGTACTATTATTTACCATAAAAATGAAGGATCTCTAAGAATTGCTTCTTTTGGGCATTCATTTTTCCACTAATCCCCACAAACCATATAGTAACCTAAAGTTCCCACCCATGAGCTTATTTCACGACTCTTAGCCAATATACTTGTTAATTGCATTGATTATTAGGGTAACATTTAAAATGAGGGGGATGGTTGCAGCAGATATTTATAGACTTGCTTATGGCACTGCCATCTGTGCACACTGACTAAAGATACACCATCGAAATTGCCAAATCTCCCTAGTTTGGTGTCTAATTACATTAATATAATTTTTGCATTATCACTTTTCATTATACCTCTAAATGAAACATTCTACTGATAAAAGTATATGCAGGGGCTAAAATAATTACCTACAGCCTCTGGTCCAAATAACCCCTTTCTACATTAGGCTGGTCCTTTTTAAGTCCTCCTGGTCCTGTTCGCAAACGCTTTCAGAGCATCTTGCATTGTTGTACCAAAAAACCCTGAAACAACCAAAGGGTTAATAAAACTGCTGGTCTGTCAGCTTTTCTATTACTTACAGATCAACACTGGTCCAGTTCAGATGAATCTGACAATCCTTCCCTGTAACAGAGCTCTGGAGTGGCTGTATCCACTTCTCTGGGTAAGGTAGCCAAACCTAAGTCAGGATGTCCCTCTTCTACTAGTACTGTGTTAACTTTTCTATACTGCATATAAAGATTTTCCCCATAAAATTTCTTTACAATACAGTATTGAATACCTCCACAAGGAAGAATATGTTAAAAAGTTGTTAAAATCATCCTTACATAATAAGAATGCAACTCTTTTAAACTCTTAAATAGTTTTATTTAGGGGTTCTTTTCAGGCTTTCTGCAAAATGAATTATTTTTTAAAATGGAAAAAAAAAAAAAAAGATTTCCTGTTGTTTGTTCTACGAGGTTGAAAATATGGGCCAGACTACTTATACATGCGGTACATGCTGAATATAACTGAATATATGCTTATTCCTACGGACACTCTGCAAGGTAGGGATCACCCAAATAGGGTCAATGGACTGGACCAGTGTTTCAATGCAAATTCCAGCCCCAAAAAACAACATGGTTTTGATTTCACAGTATGAATTCCCTGGAATCTGGGAAAAGGTAAATTAGTTAACTGAGGTCCTCCCTCAGCAGCTCGGTCCCTCAACATTCTGAGAAATCAAGAAGGACTGCACCACTTCTTCAGTGGATTGGGGGCTGGTGTTAACATCTTCAAGAGCATCGGTCACCGAATACTGACGATCTCGCAACCGGTTCCAGTTAGACAGAACATTGTGATATTCAAACACTTTCTCATAATTTCCAATGGAGTTGTAAAGTTTAATGAGACCTCGGTAATCATATTCTAGTCCACTGTAGCCTTCACCAAACAGTTTCTTCCCTGAAAGTAAAACACACATACACACACGCACAGGGGGAAAAAGAAAAAGAAAGCTCAAATAATGAAACAAGAGGTTCTTAAATAACACAAGTTCAATTCTTTAAATAAGGTGGCTTCATTTTATTTCCTAGGCTAAATGAGAAACTAATGAGATTGGGTACCCACAGACAAGATGAATATTAGAATTAAGAACTTCTGTTCTTTGAAAGGCACCATTTAGAAACAAGGAGCAGAGTGAGTTATCTATCTTACAACATATATAACCAACAAAGGGCTTGCTGCATCCATAGTATATGAAGACCTTATATATATAAATCAATAAGGAATGACAGACAATTCAATATAAAAATAGGGAAGGATTTTTTTTTTTTTTTTTTAAGTAAACTCTACCCTTAACATGGGGCTCAAACCCATGACCCTGAGATCAAGAGTCACATGCTCTACTGACGGAGCCAGCCAGGTGCCCCCAAAACAGGGAAAAATTTTAACAGGCACATTAGATGATGACTACAGTATGTTATTTTGTAATCTTATTTCCTGAAATGGAAACAATCCAAATGTTCTGAATGTCCATTAAGAGTAGAATGGATAAATAATGATATACTAATCCAATAAAATATTATATAGCACTGGAAATTAATAAGCAATAGTGTTATGGAACAACATAGATGTATTTCACAATTCATGTTCACCAAAAGAAACCAGACACGTAAAAACATACATTGCATGATTCCATTGGTAACATGTTCAAAAAGGGAGGTGGAGGGAGTAGTAACTACACAACTAGTTTAGAATAACTCCTCCTGCCTCAACTGTCATACTTCTTACTACTGGCTTCAACACAATAAATCATCTTTAGCAAAATGTTTCAGATGATTTTTGGGTGGCTTCTGGATATCCTTAGCAGCTCTAAACTCATTTAACTCTTCGTAATTCCACTTCCCTTACACAACATATAAGACATGTTGACATGTTGATACTAATCAATTGACTAAGAAAATTTTAAAATAACATACCAATCGCTATAGATCGCAAATAAAGTTTCTCAGCATTTTCGTACTGATTCATGTCATAATTGTACAGAGAAGCCAGATGTCCCACTGAAAGGGCTACTTCATAATCTTCTTGACCAAGAAGTTGCTCTTTTATCTGAATTGCTTTGATATGCATTTCTTCAGCTTCCTGAAAAATAATTAAGCTGTTTTAGCCATTAAATTATACTCTTGTATTAACAATTCTCAGCCAATGAGTAAGACTCTTCTAAATGCCAAGACATGGATGGCATAAGATAATCAGATCAGAGGACATACTACGTTAATCCAAAAGCTGCCTAGGGGAAGATTACTGGTTTGAGAAGCCATGCACACAAGCTGATGACAGTGAATGTTCTATGCCAAAAATGACGAGAAAATCTGTCCTGGTAATAAAAAATTGTTAGAAGAAGGGTGCCTGGGTGGCTCAGTCGGTTAAGCGACTGCCTTCGGCTCAGGTCATGATCCTGGAGTCCTGGGATCGAGTCCC